AAAGCACCTCCATGGTCACATTGCAATCCCTTCTTTATTTCTGCCTCCTTTAGGGATTTGGGGCACCCGGACACACATGCCTGGCATGTTTCTCAAACCACTGGGTCTGGGGCTTAAAGTGCACAGCTGGCTATGGGGGATCTAGCCGCCTTAACCACAAGTCCACCAGTTGGCCTGAGAGAGGGATTCTTCTTTTTATTTTTTGGAGAGGTTTTTGCTATAGGGCACGTGTGCTTGCCAGAAAGACAGAGAGAGACAGAGAGACAGCGAGAAATCACCCCCCAGGGAGGATGGCCATGCTGCAATCCCTTCTCCTCCATTCTCCTCTCTGGATCTTGGGCATGCACACACATGTACCCAGTGTGAGTTTAAGCCACCGGGTCTGGGACTCAAACCGCAGTTGACCACATGGGAGTCCAGTGACATAGCCATTACGCCAACTGCTGGTCCCATGCAGGTATTTCAATTAAAAAACAATTACTAAGTTAACTACGTCAGTGAAACAGACTTTTTAAATTATGTTCCCTTCTTTATATCATAGCACTTTGGAGCGCATGAAAACTAAAGCAAAAAATGGCCCTTCCCACCAGCTTTGCCCAATGCCTCCTGCTTAAACAAGTTTTAAAAGCAAAAAGAAGCTTGTGAACTGTTTTCAAATCTTTTTAAAAAAATAGAACCAAACAAATACTGCAGTTCTCTATGACTGTACCCTAAGAAGATCACGGCACATCCAGACACTGCTAAAAGTACTTCTCTTTCCTTCTCTCTCTGCCCTCCCCCCAGTAAATACATTTTTAAAAGTAAAATATAAAATAAGTTGAAAAATAGCATAGCATTCTCAGCCTGGCCATGGTGGCGCAGGTGATAGGACACAGCTACGTGAGGTCAGACCACGTAGGAGGCTCAGGTTTGGTTCCTGGACTAAGCTAAAGAGGCTGGGTGTGGTAGCAAGCACCTGTAATTCTGGCCAGGGGGCTGAATTATAGGAACCAGCAGATGGTGTAATGGTTACCTTGCTGGACTCCAACATGTCCAACCATGGTTCAAATCCCAGACCTGGAAGCTTGAAATTCACATTGAGTGTGTGTGCGTGCATGTCCAAGATCCTGATAGGAGAACGGAGGAGAAGAGACTGTAGTGTGGCCATCCCCACAAAGGATGATTTCTTGCTTTCTGTCTCTCTGGCAACAGAATTTTGCCCTATGGCAAAATCCTCTCTTTCTGAAAATATTGTCTATAAATAAATACATCCATACTTAGACTTTTCCACACCCCATATCAGGATGCACACTTTAACACCATAAGGCTGAATCTTTTGACCTATGTCAAAAGACTGCTCTTGGGTCAGCAGGTGGTATGGTTAAGGTGCTGGATCCTGCATGGCCAATTCTGTGGTTTGAGTCCTGGACCCAGCAACTTGAAAAACATACCAGGTATGAGTGCATGTGCCCAAAATCCTGAGAGGAGGATGTCGAAGTGATTGTGGCGTGGTCATTCCCCTGGGGGATGATTTCTCACTTTCCTTCTCTCTCTCTGCCTCCCCAGCAAGAGAGCAAAAAAAGAATTGCTATCCAGTCTTTTGCTTGCTCTGCTTGGGTCTCCATGTTCTTTCCCACAAACTCGGGTTAATGAAAGGGAGGTGCTTTAAAACAAGCTGCAGCAGAAATGCCTTACCCTATGACAGGGCGAACTGAACCTTTGGGGCTAAAGAAGAATTCACCAACAGGCTGCTGGTAAGAGGAACTACCTGCAGGCCCAGAGGATGACAATGAAAACATGTTGACGGCAGAAAAACCGAAACAGACGTGGGGGCGGACAGAGCAGTATCTCTCCGTGGGACCAAGAGGTCAACTCCGTTTCACCTTCTCATTTATTTGTAATTGCCAAAGAGCATGTGCACACGTTAGAGAAAGAGAAAGAGGAAGAGGAGAGAGAGAACACACCCCTCACTGGAAAACATAAAAATCTAATTTTAAACAGGGAGTAGAAGCCCTAACTTGAGCAACAACACACAATAATAACCAATTCACCTCAATCCATAGCAAAGAGCAAGACAAGGTTGTCCATACTGCCTCGTGAAGGCAGCCTCAGCTTTCTTTCCACCTAGTGACTCTTCCTGCCTCTGATTTTTTTTCTCTTTTTTTTTTTTTGTAGGTGTTTTGCTCTCCATGTGCACTCTCCAGAAAGACAGAGAGAGACAGAAAGACAGAAAGCGAGAAATCACCCCTCAGGGGGGATGGCCACGCCACAATCCCTTCTCCTCCATTCTCCTCTCGAGATCTGGCATGCACGCACATGTGCCCCGTGTGAGTTTAAGCTGCTGGGTCTGGGACTCGAACCACAGTCAGCTACATGGGAATCCAGCGACATAGTCATTATGCTAACTGCTGGCCCCCTGCCTCTGATTTTTCAGCTTTGTTATATAGCTTTCAAGCACAGAATTCCAAAGAGTTGAATTGCCTTCATCCTGCCCAATGTTGGCATAGACTGTGAGAACAGATGAACATTTAAAATCATGCATGAGGAGCTGGCAGGTGGCATGATGGTAAGTGTGCTAGACTGCCAAATGGCTGACCATGGTTCAAGTCCTGGACCTGGTAGCTTGCTTTCTCACTTACCCTCTCTCTCTCTCTCTCTCTTGCTCTGTCCCACTCAAATTTAAATAAATAAGCTAAAAAAAAATAATAATTCTTTTTAAAAAATCACAGAGGGGACCAGCAGATGGTGTAATGGGTACGTTGTAGGACTCCCACATAGTCAACTGAGGTTTGAGTCCCAGACCCGGTGGCTTAAAATCCCACATGGCTGACTGTGTGATTCAGCTTGGAAATCATGCCAGGTACCTGTGCATGCATGCCCAAGATCCTGAGAGGAGAATGGAAGAGAAGGGATTGTGGCATGGCTATCTCCCATGGAAGGGTGATTTCTCAGTTTCCCTCTCTAGGAAAAAAAAAATACAAACATTTGTGTACAACCCAAATACTGAGGTTTGGGGCAAAATAAGGAGCTAAAACTTAGCCAGTTCCATGTCATTTTATCCTAATGAGAGAACTTACTACAGCCAGAGCAGGAAGAAGGGAGAAAACATGCTCTGGGTTGAAAGATGAATAGAGGTTGGCAGAAATGGGTCACCTGTGAAATGTAAAGTCCCAATGTTACTAAGGCTTGCATAATGTGTCTGAGTTAATGCAATCCTCATTTTGAGCTGAATGTCAAAAAATGGCTTTTGGGCCATCTATCAAGTGCTTGAGACTAGACACAAAGGGGTGATGAGATTATTTTCCAAACCACACAGTAGCAGGTCCTGATCGCAATCATCAGATGTTAGACGAGGGACGACTTCAGAGGTCCTGTGATCATAAAGACAATCACGCCAAAGCTGAAAGCACTTTATCAAAACTTATCCAGCAGCCTAAAATTTTGAAATAGAAATGAGGACAAAGTGATTCACAGGTATGAGGGAACAGAAAAGAAAGTAGAGGCCTGGAAATAAAGAGAGGGTCTAAAAAAACAAAAATAAATAATCTGGATGTAGAAGTTATAAAATGAAGCTTCAGAAGATCTGGGTTTTTGGTTTTGCTATTTTTGTCAGAAGGTGTGTGTGCTTGCCCGAGAGAGACAGAAAGAGAGAGCGGGAAAGGAAGAAAGTAACTCCATGTGGCATGGTCACACTGTAATCCTTCTCCATTTCTTCATCCTGTTGGGATTCTGGGCTCTGGAGCCAGGATTCAAACCTCGGTTAGTCATATGGCATCTGGCTTCCTTAATCTCTAGGCTATGGGTGGTCCCCAATCTCTTCTCCTCCATCCTCTTCCTGGGATTTTGGGCATGCACGCATACAGGCCAGACGTGATTTTCAAACCACCAGGTCTGGGACTTGAACCCGATCATCCATGTGGGAGTCCAGCACCTTGGCTACCACACCACCTGCTGGCTGCCCCTATTATATTTTATATGCTGACTCTGGAATGCCTCTGGAAAGTGCTAAAGATGTCACTTTTACCATTTAGTTTTGCTATATACATTTAATAAATTAGTCATATATACTGTTCGGCATTCTTCTGAATTGGTAAATGCATTTCATGAATTAACATTGTGATATGTTTACATATTTTTTTTTAAGAATTATTTTATTGGGAACAGCAGTTAGCGTAATGGTTATGTCGCTGCTGAACTCCCATGTAGTCGACCTCACTTTGAGCCCTGGACCTGGCAGCTTAAAATTCACTCAGGGAGCATATGCCCAAGATCCCAAGAGGAGATTGGAGGAGAAGGGATTGCATTGTGGTCATCCCTCTGGGGGGTGGTTTCTCTGTCTCTCTGTCTCTCTGTCTTTCTGGCCCATGCAGGCACCCTATAGCAAAATACTTCTCAAAAAAAATTTTTTTTATTTATCTTTATTTACTTATCTACTTTTAATTTGGCCAGAGAGAGACAGAGTGAGCGGGGCAGAGTGAGAAAGCAAGCTGCCAGGCCCAGGAATCGAGTCTGGTCAGCCATGTGGAGTCCAGTGCCCTTAACCACCATGCCACCTGCCTGCCCCTTGTTTACATATTTTGACATCTACTTCTGAACTGTGAGGAGCCAAGCATCAGAGGCATGGCCAACAGCCCTGTACTCAGGTACCTTCCAAATAAGCCCATTTAGAATGGTAGCATTTTCCTAATTCTTGGGGTCTCCAGGTCGTTTTATAGAGTACATTCTCTTTGCTTTTCCCTTTAAGATTTATGTATTATTCGATTTCATCTTTGTCAAAGTTTTTTGTCTGTACAACAAGTTATTACATGTGTATTTGTCCCCCGATGACAACACACAGGCCACCAACCTACTGAGACGCATTAAAACAAAAAAGACAAAACCAGTGTCAAAGGGTCAACAGGATAGGGAGAGCTGAAGGATGGCGACGTGGCAGGCCCCGACGTTCCTTCAGAAGTCCCAGAAATACTGATTTCTGGGCCCTGCCCCAGACTTAGCTGACTCAACACCCCCTGAGGTGGTACCTGGAAATCCGCTTTTTCAGTCAAGCGCCGCAAACCGGGTGGGAGCTACAGCTGGGATTTGCACGTCCCTCGCCTTGCCTCGGCTGCCTTCAGCCCGCCCCCAGCCGGCCGCAGCCCCCGCCCACACATCGACCACGCCCACACTCAAGCCCCGCCCCGTGTGGGCCTCGCTCCACCCCCTGTCGACGCGCGCAGCCTCTCAGGTCCCTTCCGGTGATGCCCTGGGCTGGCGGTCGCGGTTGCCCGGCAACGCGTCGTCCCAGGCGCGGGCAGCGCGAGGGTCCGCGTGGCTATGGGGCCACCGGGCATCCTGCCTCTCCTGCTGGTGCTCCTGGGCTGCTCTGCTTCGGTGAGCGCCCAGGCCAGAGCCACACCCGCAGTGGCGACGGAGGGCCCCTACTCCACCGAGGCAGCCGCTGCCACTCTCGGACCCTCCCTGTCGCCTAGGCCACCCGGGAGTTCCAGGACCCCAGGACCCTCTTCTGGCTCCAGGCCCACCCCGGTCACGGACGGTGGGTAGCAGCTGTCTATTCCTGGGAGTCCACAGTGACCCAAGGTCGGGGGGCAGTCTGGGTGAGGATGTGAAAATAATAATGACAGCTATGCTTGTGGGGCTCGGCTGTCACTGGGAGTGGGCCACAGGCAGTAGCTCCCTCAGTATCTGAGAAGTGGGTAATATTATCCCTGCCATACAAAGGCGGAAACAGGCTTCCAGAGCGAAAGTGGGACGGGGTTAAACTTGCAAAGTACTTGCAGCGGTCCTGGACAGCGTTAATGCTGAAGGTGATCATGAATGAGTCCTTGCAGCCGAAGACGGAATTAATTCGAAAAGTGTCTAGAATAGGCAGTGGTGAGATTTATGCATGGGCTGCATTAATTTTTAACTTATATGAGAAAAAGACGTCAAAGGTCTAGCTTATTAAATGTGACTGAGCCACGACCCTTGTGGGTGAACTTGAATGATGAAAACTCAGGAATCCTCCTGCATTGAGTTGGAGAGAGGGAGGTGGGTGATGCCCATTTCTAGGAGTCCTATTTAGGGATAATTAATACGTTTCTCAGAAGGCGATTTTTTCATCCTGGAATTACACACTTAGTGAACTTTATAATCTGTATGCGATGACTTCAGGGAATGTCTGTGAGTTCTCGACACTGAGTGCAAAATTTTGTGAATATGCCTTTTTTTCTGGGGTGAAAGTTCATAGCAGTCAACAGACTCTCAAAGGGGTTTGTGATCTCCAAAACAAAGTTTTGGGACCAGCAGTTAGCATAATGGCTATGTTGTTGGACTCCCATGTAGTCGACCCTGGTTCAAGTCCCAGACCTGGTGGCTTAAACTCACGCCGGGCGCATGTGCGTGCATGCTCAAGATCCCGAGAGGAGAATGGAGGAGAAGGGATTGCATCGTGGCCCCCGCCCCGGGGGGTGATTTCTCGCTTTCTGTCTCCCTGTCTCTCTGTCTTTCTGATGAGCGCACATGCCCTATAGCAAAAACCTTTCCAAAAAAAGAAAAAAAAAAGTTTCAAAAATTCTCCATGTGGACAATTCCAAAAGTTATGCAGTATTTATCCCTTTTTAAGAAAAAAGATCCTTTTAAAAATTGAGTAAGGATCACTGTTAGGGTAGTAAATAAAGCTATTACTGAGCTCTAGGACTTAACTTCAGTTATTGAACCATTGGTTCTCCAAAAAGCCTCCTCCCTAAATGAAGAATAGTGTGTAAGAAAAAATGCAAGGGAATATGTGTGCTGTTTTAATATGGAAACAAAACTCTATTACATTTAAACTGTTATTTGATGAATTAATAGGGAAATTAAACCAGTGATGAATTGAGTAGCTGAATATTCAATGCCTGAAATTCTCTAAGGTTTGGGGACTGAGTTTTCTTTTTCCATGTAAATTAAATACTCTTAATACATTGTAAGTACTGTTAATGCATTATCTCTCCAAGAAGATCTTCCTGAACCTCACTATCAGGACATGTGTTCAGGGCTGTTTTTCCAGGATGGGGAATGAATTTATACTTGCCTTCATTTTTGTTGTTCTTTTTTTAGGTTTTTGCCATAGGGTGCATGCACTCACCAAAGAGAGAGAGAGAGATGGAGAGAGGGAAAGTGAGAAAGCACCCCCCAGGGGAGATGCCACAGCCCATTCTCCATTCTCCTCTTGGGATTTTGTGCATGTAGTCACATGTGCCTAGCATGATTTTCCAGCCACCTCATCTGGGACTTGAACTGTGATCAACCATTAACCACCACATCACCTGTTGGCCCTGTGGGTACTGTTTGGCCCTTTTTTTTTTTTTTTTTTCTTGAGAGATTTTCACTGTAGGGCGCGTGCGCTCGCCAGACAGACAGAGAGAGACATAGAGACAGAAAGCGAGAAATCACCCCCCAGGGGGGATGGTCACGCCGCAATCCCTTCTCCTCCATTCTCCTCTCAGGATCTTAGGCACGCACGCACACGCGCCCGGCGTGAGTTTTAAGCCACTGGGTCCGGGACACGAACCGCGGTCGACTATGTGGGAGTCCAGAGACATAGCCATTATGCTAACTGCTGGTTCCCCCTGTTTGGCCCATTTTTCAGGCAGGTAAATTACGTGCCAAGTTTTAGATCACATAGCTGGTAAGTATTGGAGCAGGAGGCTGACTGAGTCAGGACCTGGACCAAAATTTGCAAAGTAGTTAGCAGGCAGAGTTGGAAGGAGAGAACTGTTCCTCTTGAATGTGAGCCCTGTTCATCAGTACCCTGCCCTGTGAGCCAGGCATGCCGATGGTAAGAGGCTTGGAGGAGCAGCCAAGTGCTACTTAGACCTGGCGAGTGCTCACCAGATGCTTGTTGATGATCAAGTGCACTCAGCTCCTGCATGGAGACCTTTCCTCCCGAGTGGGGTTATTAGACGCTATTGCTCCATCCTTAGTAGTCATATAGTTACCTACAAGGGTTTTTAAGTTTTGAAAACAAATCAAGATTGTAATTTTAAACACATAAGGTAGGAAGCCTAAATGCTTTTATAATTTTTAAAATTAAAAAATTTCTTTTTTAAAAAAAGAATTATTTATTTTATTTGTTTATTATTATTCTTCAATTTGATCAGAGAGAGAATGAAAGGGAGAGTGAGAAAACAAGCTGCCAGGTCTAGACTCAAACCGTTGTTGGCCATGTGGGAGTCCAGCACCTTATCACCATGCCACCTGCCAGCCCCTTTTCTTTAGGTTTTTGTCATAAGTTACTTATGCTTGCCAGAGAGAGAGAAAGAGAGAGAGAGAGAGCGAGAGAGAGAGAGGCAGTGAGAGGGAAAGTGAGAACTCACTCCCCCAGGGGAGATGGCCACGGTGCATTCCCTTCTCCTCCATTCTCCTCCTGGGATTTTGGGTACACACTCACATACATCCTGCATGATTTTCAAGATGCCAGCTCTGGGACTCGACCCACAAATAGCCATGTGGGAGTCCAGTGCTTTAACCACCATGCCTCCTGCTGGCCCCAATGCTTTTTAAAAGTTCTTGATGTTGGTATGGACAAGTTGCCTTGTTATTTCACTAAGCACACAGAGGAATCCTTGCAAGACTAGAGATAAGCAGATTTTTTTTTTTTGAGATATTTTTGCTATAGGTTATGTGTGCTCCCCAGAGAGACAGAGACACAGAAAGTGAGGAATCATTCCCCAGGGTGGATGGCCACACTGCAATCCCTTCTCCTCCATTCTGCTCTCAGGACCCTGGGCACACATGGACATGCACCGGTGTGAGTTTCAAGCTGCAGGGTGCAAGACTTGAACCGCAGTTGGCCATGTTGGAGTTTAGCACCTTAACCACCACGCCATTTGCTAGTTCCCATATGTGGGTAAACTTAAGAAGGAAAACTTGTGTCTCAGACAAAGTATGTGTATTAATTGACAAAACCTTCCCCTCACACACTTTTTCCAGTGTATGTTATACCTTTTTGGGCTACATTTTTCTAAAGCTCATTTTTATTGCAAAATAATTCATACATACAAATAAGAATGTTGTATGGACCTTCTACCAGCATTTGATTAAGATCCTTTTTTTGTTAGTCATTTGGTTTTATGGCTTGAAATCACCCCCCCAGCGGGATGGTCACACCGAAATCCCTTCTCTTTCATTCTCCTCTTGGGATCTTGGGTATGCATGCACACATGCCTGGTGTGTTTTAAGCCACAGGATCTGGGGTTTGAACTGCAGTCAACTATGTGGTAGTCCAGTGACGTAACCATTACACCATCTGTTGGCCCCAGCTGATATATAAATATTGTTTAAAGAATTATTTAACTTTATTTACTATTATTACTTTTTCCCATTTGATTAGATAGAGAGAGGAGAGGAAAGTGAGAAAGCAAGCTACCAGATCCAGGACTTAAATCACGGTTGGCCACATGGGAGTCTAGCGCCTTTAACTACCACGCCACCTGCCGGCCCCTCAACTGACACTTTTTTAAAAAGGGAACTTCTCCCTGAATAAGAAAATAAAACAGGGAGTTAAAAATTCCAATAATTGTCATTATTAATAAGTAAAAGTTGTGAAGTAGGGAGATTCCTAACCCGTCCCCATGTTTTATTAAATTGATAAAAATGAGTTTTTGAAAACTACAGATGCCTGGGTTTTGCGTTCAGTCTGTAGGTAGATCACAAACAAACAGAACTTCCCTGTGGAGTCAGATGATTAGCCGCTGTGGGGAAACCTAATTGTGGGGTGCTCATACTGACTAATGACTTCATGAATTTCAGTGCAATAGGAAAAATAAAATGGGCCTTCTAATGACATTGATTTACGGTACTGGAGGTGGCAGGGGACAGTCTCTGCCTGCTGGTGACGCTCTGGTCCCACCCTCTTATTTCTGTAGTTACTGCTCTCTGTGTCTGTGACTTGTCTCCAATGCAGTGTGACATCAACTGCTGTTGTGACCCCGACTGCAGCCCTACGGATTTCAGTGTCTTTTCTTCCTGCTCAGTTCCCGTTGTCATGTAAGTGGATGACATATATAGTTTTGATAAAGTTTGATCAAGATAATAAAATCTGGGGATGGAGAGTGAAAACTCCCCGAAGGTCAAAAAACCCGAACCTGGTTTTCTGAACTTTGCACTGGTCTGAAGCCATGCTACCCAAACCACCATGTAAATGAGTAGCTCTTCCTTATTTGCATCCTGCAAAATGATAGAGCAGGCAAAAGAGAAGAGTTGTATGTTTCTTCTAAAGAGTGTGATGGAATCTGTGTTTGGAGATGACGTGTTACATGTCAGTTTCAGTGGTAAACAGATGCTCTGCCACATTTTTTTAATTAGTCTCATGGATAGCCTTGCATGAAAAGTGTGGTTCAATTTTACAGCTTTTGTTTTGGAAATAATACTTGTAACAAAATATTAAATTATACTTTTCTGACATGTAAATCTACTAGGACTTCTCACAGTTCACTTTGTATAGGAGAACAATGGAAAACGGCCTTCCCCCGTTGATTGCCAGGCAAAGAAATAATCTGTTTTGAGTGATCTATTCTCATAATTCAGATTTCAGAGCTTTTTAACAAATACAAAAATACGTAGAAAAGTTTCATTTATTCGGGATGGAACCAACTTATTCAGACATAGCTAATTTAAATTCCTTTTTATAGCAGGTTTTAGCAATTGATACTTGATAGGTGAATCCTTTTGGTAGATATGATGGGGTTTTCCTGTGTGAAACTTTATTTTGAAGTTTGTTTATTTCCTGAGAGAGACAAAGACAGATAGATAAGTACCCTACAGGATTTTCACATCTCCATCTATCCCAGCCAGCCCAGAGCACAGACACTTACGTGTACATCCACCCTGCCCAGGGAGAACTAAGGATGGTGGCCCTTCCCTCGCAAAGGCGCAACAGTGAGACTGGGGAGACGTATCCTGATCCGATAGTGTACTGACAGCCGACCGGGCCGGAAAGCTAGCTGAGAGAGGGAAGGAGGGAGTCCCATTCTGTTGATTGATCCGTCACCCCACATTAGCCCTCCTGTTTGTCCATCCTGCTTCCTCCTGCTTTACAAGCTCACACCTCACCTTGTCACTCACTTGCCAGAAAACCTTCAGAAGCTCCTATTGCCTACAGACTCCTTAGCCTGGACTCAGATCCATCCCCAACTGCTTTCAGATCCTGTTTCCTACTAATCCTCATCGTCAATTTCTACGTAAGCCCAGCCTGGATACCCAGAGTTTCTCAAAGACCACACAGTTCATTTCCCACCCTTGGGCGGTGCTGTTCTTGCACCTGGATCAGCCTCTCATCCTCTCTGAGTCCTACCCATCCTTTAAGGCCCAGTAAAAACTGAAAGATGATCATCTTGGCAAGGGCACGGGGAAATAGGCATCCTTCCTGCTGTGTTGATAAGGTTGTATGCTATTCCTTTCTAAGAGAGAGTCTGGCAAAATGTCTGAACGCCATAAATGAAAGCCTTCTGATTTAGCAATTCCACTTCAAGGAACATGGCCTAAGGAAGTATCTGGACACTTTTATAAAGAGGTCCATGTAAGGATTTCAGTATAGTATATGCAACTGAGGAAAGTTACAAGCAGCCTACATCAAGAGTGGAGAATAGGTTAGGCAAGTTAGGGTGGTTAACAAGCTGGTGGTGTATGACGAGACATTCAGTATAATACTGCAAAGCATATTGGTGACTTGGGAAATATTAGGCTTCATACAGTAAGTGAGAAAAGCCTTCAAGCAGTATGGAGAATATGATTCCATGTTTGTTATAACTCTGTCTCTATACCATATCTATATTTAATTGATTGGGCTTTGTCAAATCTCAGATTGGTTTAAGACAGAACTGAAACTTGACTTCTAAGCTTTAAACCTAGATAACTTCACATTTTATCATCCTCGCAACTCTTTGAGGACAGCTTTCCTCTAAAGACAAGGAATTTTGGGTCTATTCTGGGTACTTATAAACAGTCTTAAATTCTGCAGAATTTTACTTAATTTGTGCTATCACAGTTTATCAAATTCACTTATATTAAAATTATACCTGATCTGTATTTTATACTTGAAAAAGTTTCCTTAAAGCTTTTTCTAATCGTCTTAATTTTTTCCCTAGTAGAGGAAAACTTTCAAATGCCAAACATTTTAACACTGGATAAAGTAAATAGAAATTGATTCATTTTTAACATCGGGCTTTCATAAATATCCTTCATGTACCTGTTAACATAGTACAGTACAAGCATCTGACAGTTTTAAAATAATCTTGCTAAGATTTATGCTTATGCTTTAAAACTTAGTATTGTTATGTTTTAATTTTCAGGGGTGATAGCCAGTTTTGTAGCCAAAAAGCAGCTACATATTCATTGAATTTTACAGCAAACCCACCTCAAAGGGTATTTAAACTTGTAGACCAGATCAACCCATCCATTTTCTGCATTCATATTACAAACTGTAAGTATTTCACATTGAGGGACTTTGTGAGACTGGAAAGTTTTTCTTCTCAAGTAATTTTCTGCAGGGTCACCAGGTGGCATGGTAGTTCAGGCTCTTGTCTTTCATATGGCCAACTGCGGTCTGAGTCCGAGACCTGGTAGCTTGAAAATCATACAAGGCATGTGTGTGTGCATACCCAAAATCCCAGGAGGAGAATGGAGGAGAAGGGATTGTGGCATGGCCATCCTCCCTGGGGGGTGATTTCTTGCTTTCCCTTTCATGGTCTCCCTCTTTCTCTCTCTGTCTCTGGCAAGTGCATGCACCCTACAGCAAAAACCTTAAAAAAAAGTTAGTTTTTGGGAAACCATCTCCTTCAGTTAGATTTAAAGCAGTCATTCTATGTTTTGGCTGCATGTATGGTGTATCCCTTCTGAGGCCATTGGCCATTTCCCCAGTAACTGGGAATAACTATCAACACAAAGCATGCACATTTTCTCTACAAGTAGTTATGCTTATGTACTTGTCTTTGGCATCTTACACTTGATGTCAAGGGTGTTTATAATATGTAGACACACACATGGATCTAGATTTACATATTTATGTGGGTTTTTTCCTCCTAAATTTCCTCCTGACTTAATGGTTGAAAATCAGGTTCAGCTTTGAACATTACCTGTGGTTTTTATTTCCTTTTTCTCTTTTATTTTTACTAAGAATATTTGCATGAAAACAGGATCTTTATTTTTATCCGAACATTTAGCTCAAATAAGTGCCTAGATCTAAGGTACCTGTAAGCGTAGAGTGTTATCCAGATACCAAAGATCACAGACACATTCATGCTTTTATTTATCAATTAAACTTCACCTTTTCAGAATGTCTTTATTTATGTATTTTGGTTTGTCCCCTTGTGACCGAATACTTAGGTGCATGTTCTGTGATTTGTAATTTGAAGTGACGACTATGCAGTCACTGTCTGGTTCTCTGGCCTATTACCAGCCCAGTACACATACCCTTCTTTCTCTTATGTACAGAGTCCTTTTTTTCTTTTCTTTTTCTTAAAAATATTTTATTTAACTTTATTTTTTAAATTTGTCCAGAAAGGGACAGAGCAAGAGAAAGAAAGAGAGAAAAAGCTGCCAGGTCTGGGGCTTGAACCATGGTCGGCCATATGGGAGTCCAGTGCCCTTAACCACCACACCACCTGTCGGCCCTAGAGTACATTTTTTAAAAAAAGAGTTATTTATTTAATTTTACTTATATTTATTTTTAATTTGTTAGAGGGTACATATACTCACTAGAGGAAGACAGAAAGAGAGAGAGAGGGGAAGTGAGAAAGCAAGCCGCCAGGTCTGGGAGTTGAACCATGGTCAGCCACGTGGTAGCCTAGCACTTCAATCATCATGCCACCTATTGGCTCTCAGAGTGCATTTTTCTTCCTGGCTTTGGAGATGGCTGTGGAAGAGTAGAAACAGGATTCTTTCATTTCCAGAGCCATCTGGGGAGAGAGTTTCCCTTTATAGGTTGCTGCTGTAGACCCCTCTAGGCACCGGGTGGAAAGTGACTGGTCTCTAATAGCCTCTGTCATGCTAGTCATTGGCAAGTGTTAGAAACCAAACCCTGACTTTCCTGCTGTTAGAGAAGCAGGCTGAGTCTAGGGATCCTGTTAACTTAATAAGCTTCAAAAGATCTGGAGAGGAGTGACTATGGAAAAAAGACATCTTATTTTTTTCACATCAATCTTAATGCTACTAAAAACTGTTTCCAAACTATTATGTATGTCATATATAACATACATCTATTTTATACTGATTTAAAATACTTTTTCTACAAACAGATAAACCTGCATTATCATTTATTAATCCAGAAGTGCCTGATGAGAACAGTTTTGATAAGCTGATGACAACATCTGGTTTTACATCGAATGTGGAATCAGATGTTTCTTTCATAACCCGGTTGGAGGCTTCGAATCCTGCTAAATACGAGGTGAGCCAAAAACTTGAGTCTACTCATACTGTCATAAGTATGTTACCAGCAAAACATAGAAATAAAACAAAAATTGATATTTTAGACAAATAAGCTTAATGTTCATCCCTACAAATCAAAGATTATAAAAATTAAAATAAAACATTTGAATTCTGAATATAGGACTTATGGTAGGGGCCAGCAGATGGTGTAGCAGTTATATCGCTGGACTCCCACATGGCCAACCGCAGTTCGAGTCCTGGTCTTGGTGGCTTAAACTCACGCTGGGCACATGTGGATGTGTGCCCGAGATCCTGAGAGGAGAATGGAGGAGAAGAGATTGTAGCGAGACTGTCCTTCCTGGGGGGTGATTTTTCACTTTCTATCTCTGTCTCTCTGGTGAGCCCTATAGCAAAAATCTCTCAGAAACAAAAAAGCACTTATGGTAGTTTATTCCATGGTAAACCTGCATTTTATCTCTGCAGAATTCTTTGCTCTTCACCTTAAAAGATGCAGCATGCTTGAAGTTTGCTGCTGGGAACAGGGAGTAGACTAGCTGGGTGCCTGGTCCTCTTTCCAAGATTGCATTAATTTTATATTCTTTGCAAAGATGTGTGCTATTTTGTGTCCATTAGTAAACCTTTAAAATATGACATATTAACTTTGAATAAACTTTAACTTTTTAAAAAAATAATTATTTATTTTATTTGTATTTATTATATATTTTTTCACCTTGACCAGAGAGAGAAGGAAAGTGAGAAAGTAAGTCACCAGGTCTGGGACCCAAACTGAGGTCAGTTGTATGCAAGTTCAGCACCTTAACCACCATACCACCTGCCAACCCTAAACTTTAACTTTTTCAGAACCATCTTTCAAAAAAAAAAAAATTACAAAAGCAATGAGTCTTTAAAGCCACAAGTATAGAGATATATAAGTAAAAATGGAAAGACATCCTATCTCCGTTAAAATTCACACTACAAGTCATTGTGAAAAGATTAGTGTGTATTTGCCCTGTATCAAAATACATCTGTGCTGCTAACAGAAATACCCATGGCTGGGTAATTTACAAAAATAGGTTATTTGACTCACAATTCTGATGGCTGGAAAGTCCAAAGGTGTCACAGAATGGCAGAGACAGAGCTCTGAGGACAGCTTAGAGGGCAGCACAGTGTGGTCTGTGTCCATGTGTGTGTCCTAGTCTCGTTCCCCTTCCTCATAAAGCAATTGGAACTTGGTCATGGGGGCCCCATCCTAACCTCCCCATCACTGTCTCTTCCCAGAGGTCCCACATTTAAACACCATAATCAAATTACATTTTTACCCTCCTAATCTCATTACATGGGATTTTGGGGGGATACATTTGATTAATTTGAATATGTACATATTTTATTTATATATAGTTGTATAGGGATGGGATTTCTAGTTATGTTCTAGACAACCTTTTTTAAAGAATTATTTAATTTTATTTATTATTATTATTGTTTTTAAATTTGCTGTAGGGCACATGCACTCACCAGAGTGCAACAGAGAGAGAAAAAGAGAAAGAGAGTGAGAGAGAGAGAGAGAGGGAAGGGAGGAGAAAGAGAGAGAAAAAAAGCCACTAGCTCCAGGACTCAAACCACAGTCGGCCATATGGGAGTCCAATGCCTTAACCACCACACCATTTGCTGGCTCCCTAGACAGACTTTTTTAGTGATAAATCTTGTGCATATTCCCATAAAGTCAGTATAAAAATTATGATTTCTTAAGTATTTTCTATGTGCCAGGCACTGTGCAGAGCTTTCTAGGCTTGACCTCATACATTCCGGAGGGACATGTCCCCATTTCCCTAATGAGCAAAACTTAGGTATAGGAAAGTAACTCGTTAGACCTAGTGTCAGAACTACAGTTCACAAAGTATTCCTTTCTGTGTGTATCTGAGCCATTCCACTCTCTTTGTTGTTGCGTGTTCATGATTGAGAGAGGGCGTGTGTGTGCGTGTGAAAGTAAGTGGGGGGCAGAGCCCCATTTACAGGGTCGGGCTTGGTGTGATTCTCCTTCCTCCAGCCCTCCAGCCTGTCAGGTCTTGGGCACTTGAGCCCATGCCTGAGTGTTCCAGGCTGACCAAGCTGGGGACTCAAACTGTGGTCACAATATGGAATCTGGCTTTTGAGTCGTGCAACACTGCTACACCATGGAGCTGGCCTGCCATCCCACTTGTAACAGATACTTGTTTCCAGTTTTTTGCTATTAAAAAATAACCACAGTGGACATTCTGTGTGTGTGTGTATTTGTAAATTGTCTGATTAAATCCTTAGGATATGTTCTTATAAATGAGTTAGCTTGGGCAAAATGAATGGAAAGTTAAAATGTTGATTTCCAGCCAGAAAGATTGCAGTAGTTTACATGCCAGGGCATGAGGACATATTTTCTCATACCCTTGCGGCACCAAGATATTTGGGTAGACTTCCAAATCTTAAAATTTAGCTGTATGCCCAATACTTAGAAATTTGAGTTTTGAATATTGGGGAAGAGTTTCATAGCATTTAATTTTGGGAAAGAAGGCATTCTTTCATAAAATTGATTCATAAAAATTTGAGTGATTTAACTGTATCCTGTATATGTTATTTAAATAATTAATATTAGTGAAAAACAATTTCTTCCCTCACTCCTGAGCCCAGCGGACGGGTTCCTGTCTGCAGAGGCATATACAAATACAATAGCATGCCCACGTGGAAACACGCTTAAAACACCTATGAGAAAGAATGAACCAGCTAAGTGTAAACTCTATGTGGGTAAGAGCCACGTGTGATTTTTGTTCATCACTCTGTCCCTGACACCTGCGGTGCTACCTGCCTGGCACATAGTAGGTGGCCAATAAGTGTCAAAGGAATGCCTTAATGTACCGTAACAGCCACTGGTTGTGTTTGCAGTATGGGGTTCCTCTGCAGACTTCAGACTCATTTCTGAGATTTCCTTCGCCTCTTACATCGTCTCTGTGCACTGATAATAATCCGGCAGGTAAGAGACCAGCCCTTCTTCTTCTTTTTTTTTTTTTAAGAGAGATTTAGGTCTCTGCGCTTGCTGGAGAGATAGAGAGATAGAAAGTGAGAAATCACCCCTTGGGGGAATGGCCACACTGCAATCCCTTCTCCTCCATTCTCCTCTTGGGATTTTGGGCACACATGCATATGTGCCAGGCACGAGTTTTTTAAGCTGCCGGGTCTAGGACTCGAACCACAGTGGGCTACATGAGAGTCCAGTGATATAACCATTATGCCATCTGCTGGTCCCAAGACCCGCCATTCTCTTTTCTCGTGGTACCCAGAGTTTGCTGTTAGTTTACATTTGTAGTAGTCATAATGAGAAAAGGTTGGCAACTAGAAACAGACTCTAAAGGTTGAAGGAGGCTCTAGAGGTTAAGCAGTTCAAGGCCCCACTCGGTGCCAGAGTCTTTTCTACCACATGAATTCGTGAGGGGACTCACTACCTGATGTAGCTGACGTAGTTATCTAACACTTTCAGTTGTTGGAGAGTCCTAAAACTTATCATAGCTGGTGTTTAGTAAGCACTTTCTGTGTGCTGGGTATTACGACCATGCATTTATTTTCCCACCTAAGCCTCACAGTGATCCTTTGAGGTCCAGTTAGTATCTCTGTTAATTTTACAGATGAAGAAACTGTGGGATATGCATTTCTTGCTCAGACTCACTCAGGCAGTGGTGGAGCAGGCTCTCCAGTCCTGAAGTGAGCCTCATTATGGGAACTATCTAAGCAGTCGACTGTGGTTTGAGTCCTAGACCCGGTAGTTAAAAAACTTTGTGCCTGGCACATATGCATTTGTGCCCAAAATCCCAAGAGGAGAATGGAGGAGAAGGGATTGCAGTGTGGTCATTCCCCCGAGGGGTGTATAAAACCGAACTTTTGCCTATCCAATTGGCACAGCTCAGAAAATTTGAGGCTGTGGTGAGTTGGGCATCACTTATGCAGCTGGTGGGCTTAGGTATGGGTGCGGGCTCTGTGAGGGACAACTTTAGCAACATGTACCACTGTACGAATGGCCCCGCTGTAGAACTTCTAGGAGCTGATCCTAAGGAAACTCTGGCCCTCATGCAAAGTAATAATTGCAGCATGGTTTGTGATAACAAAGCTAGAGATAACTTACGTGTCCGTGAGTAGGGAGCTGGTGGGATGATTATGCCACATCTCTGTAGAATGCTAATTATCCCTCAGAAGGGAGGTGGAAGCTCTTCAGTATGTGACAGGCTGGTCTTCAGGATATATTGTTCAATGAGCAAAATCGAGCACCGGAGTGCTGTGTCTACTGTAAATTTGTTTCTAAGACGGGAAAGAAATAATGAATTTTTTTACATACATATTTGGTTTTATTAGCATAGACTATTTCTAGAAAGATACACAAGAAACTTCATGCACATTGCCCCTGAGGAGGGGCATGGATGGTAGCTGGGGGAGAGGCCAGGAGTTAGGGGGAGACTTTGCCAGATATCTATTTTGTGCCTTTTGAATTTTGAAACTCATGTATATGTTAACTATTTGAAAAATAATTTCTAATCCCCATTTTAAATGTATTGCATGTCTGCATTGTTACTTATTTTGCAGTTTTACATAGATAATCATTTTCCTAATCACCACTTTAAACATTTCTTCCCTTTTTGTTTTTCCTTCTTGGGAACGTTGTGGTTTCCAGCATTTCTGGTGAACCAGGCTGTTAAGTGCACCAGAAAGATCAATTTAGAACAGTGTGGAAAAATGGAAGCCCTTAGCATGGCTTATTACAGCAGCCCCGAAATTCTGAAGGTAAGAATTGTTTTAAAGTGGAACTGATTCATTAGATATGTTTCCTGTTCTTTGTATTCTTTTGAGCTATGGCAAGTGTGAAATAATTTCAGTACATGATTGATGCTCAAGTTTCAATTCTCTTCTCCAGTTCTTTGGTATTAGTGACTATTGAATGATCCGTTCAGTAGTTGTTATTTTTATATAGTTTGCTCATATTTTGCTTTCATTCATTTTTTTTTCTTTCTTCATTTTCATGGTAACCAGCAATGTCTGGCTCCTGAATCAAAAATCTTTACTAAAAAAATAACTGAACACTTTAGAAATTATAAAAACATCTGTGGCAGAAATAATGATATTAGCCCCCAAAGAACCCTTTCTTAGAAACAGACCAGAAAAGGAGAGAGGATCCCCTTCCTGGCTGTCAGATGAAATAGGCAGCTGAGAAGTTTAAGGAAGGGGATTGCTGGAGAGGGGAGAGGAGGTCTGACGTGGACACACGGCGAGGCCCCTGGCCCACTTGGCAGGTGAAGCGGAAGGTGTCCTAAGGGGAGAGGTTTCCAGTGATTTGGAACCTTATCATTGTTGTCGAACCCCTCTCCTTATTTCCTTTTTCTGGGCATGCCCAGGTAGGACCGTCCATGGCTCCACTGTTCACTTCAGCTTTCAGGATCTGGTTTAACCTTTCTTCTCTCCTCCTTCATCCTCCCTTCTTGTAAGTCAGCTGTCTGGGCCTATGAGTTTGTCCAGCTCTCACAGGATGGCTTCTTTTTTTTTTTTTAAGGGTACATGTGCTTGTTGGAGACACAGAGAGAGAGCGATGGAGAGAGAGGAAGTGAGAAATCAGCCCCCAGGGGGATGGCCACACCTCAATCCTTTCTCCTCCATTCTCCTCCTGAGATTTTAGGCATGCATGCACACGTGCCCGGCATGAGTTTTAAGTCGGTGGGTCCGGGACTCAGCGGTAGTCGACTATGTGGGAGTCTAGCGACATAACCATTGCACCATCCGCTGGTCCCACAAGATGGCTTCTCACAGCTATGCTGAAGTAGTCCCTCGGGCCTCCGGGTACAGTCCTCTCTCGGCACAGGCCTCCTCAAACATGTCTCTTTGGCCTCCTCCCTAAAGCACCCAGGGGCCTGATAGGGTGTCTTGTGATGAGGTTGGGAAGACAGAGGGCAGGAAGTGAAGGGAGGGTGAGCCCTTCAGAGAGTTCAGCAGTACTTGGAAGCAGGGGCTTGGCATTTAGGGGGCCCGGAATATTGGCAGGAAGAGCACTTAGGAGGCTGTGGGAGTCCCCAGGGCAAGTGAGGACAGGCATAGTAAGAGGGGCCAGGAGACCAGGAGCTGTGCCTTCCCCACTGTGCTTACTGCAATGACAGCCACGTGGACCAGGGGATGGGGTGTCTGGAGACTGGGTCACTGAGCATCTGCTGTGAGGGAAATGAACAGAGAAGGAAAATGCAGCGTCACCTCTTTGCTTATGACCTAGATCCAAACACTCGTAGATGTAAGGTTAAAGAAATTCTGTTTTCCTCTGTGAAATCTTTAACAAGATGAATATGCCCTTTAACCCAAAGTCTAGAAAAGCAATGAAAACGCTTCTTGCTGTTTAACAAAATTTCTTTTGGTTTCTTTTTATCTAGGTGCCTAATTCAAGAACAAAGGTAAGAGTATTTCTTAATGCAAAGTAAGATAGTTAATAGAACACTTATTTCTAAACCCTTTGAAATGAATAATTTATGATTACAAGGGCACTTTATTGCCAATAACAAAACATCCGCCAAGGCCGGTCACTGGGTGTGCTGGCTGACAACGCTGTCTGCAGGCCGAGGCCACATGGGAGGCCCAGGTTTGATTCCCTGCCTGCCCTAGCAGCCGGCATGGTGGTGCACGCCTACAGTCCCAGCTACTTGGGAGGCCAAGGCAGGAGGACTGTGACATAAAGACATAGCTTAT